TGACTGTGTGCTGGCAGAGATGGATTAGCTGTTTGACTGTGTGCAGGCAGAGATGGATTAGCTGTCTGTACTGTGTGCAGGCAGAGATGGATTAGCTGTTTGAACTGTGTGCCCGCAGAAATGGATTAGCTGTCTGGACTGTGTGCCTGCAGAAATGGATTAGCTGTCTGGTCTGTGTGCAGGCAGAGATGGCTTAGCTGTCTTGACTGTGTGCAGGCAGAGATCGATTAGCTGTCTTGACTGTGTGCAGGCAGAGATGGCTTAGCTGTCTGGTCTGTGTGCAGGCAGAGATCGATTAGCTGTCTTGACTGTGTGCAGGCAGAGATGGATTAGCTGTCTTGACTGTGCGTGGGCAGAGATGGATTAGCTATCTGGACTGTGTGCAGGCAGAGATGGATTAGCTGTCTTGACTGTGTGCAGGCAGAGATGGCTTAGCTGTCTTGACTGTGCGTGGGCAGAGATGGATTAGCTATCTGGACTGTGTGCAGGCAGAAATGGATTAGCTGTTTGGACTGTGTGCAGGCAGAGATGGATTAGCTGTCTTGAATGTGTGCTGGCAGAGATGGATTAGCTGTCTTGACTGTGTGCAGGCAGAGATGGCTTAGCTGTCTTGACTGTGCGTGGGCAGAGATGGATTAGCTATCTGGACTGTGTGCAGGCAGAGATGGATTAGCTGTCTTGACTGTGTGCTGGCAGAGATGGATTAGCTGTTTGACTGTGTGCAGGCAGAGATGGATTAGCTATCTGGACTGTGTGCAGGCAGAAATGGATTAGCTGTCTGGACTGAGTGCTGGCAGAGATGGATTAGCTGTCTTAACTATGTGTAGGCAGAGATGGATTAGCTGTCTGGACTGTGTGTGGGCAGAGAAAGACTAGCTGTCTGGACTGTGTGCTGGCAGAGATGGATTAGCTGTCTGGACTGTGTGCTGGCAGAGATGGATTAGCTGTCTGGACTATGTGTGCAGTCAGAGATGGATTAGCTGGTTGTACTGTGTGCAGGCAGAGATGGATTAGCTGTCTGGACTATGTGTGCAGTCAGAGATGGATTAGCTGTCTGGACTATGTGTGCAGTCAGAGATGGATTAGCTGTCTGGACTGTGTGCTGGCAGAGATGGATTAGCTGTCTGGACTTTGTGCTGGCAGAGATGGATTAGATGTCTGGACTATGTGTGCAGTCAGAGATGGATTAGCTGGTTGTACTGTGTGCAGGCAGAGATGGATTAGCTGTCTGGACTTTGTGCTGGCAGAGATGGATTAGATGTCTGGACTATGTGTGCAGTCAGAGATGGATTAGCT